AAAACTAGTTTACCTGCATGAATGCGTAGAAGTTGGCAGCTTCTCGCATCGGAACCATGCCTGAGCCACATTTGCGATCGCACTAATGCACCAGAACTCATTTTGCCTGAACAATAATCATCAGGCCGATATTTGGTCCATTAATAAGTTGATAATCCGATTTATTTGCACTACTTTGGCCAACATAAAGCTTTGTTATGGTTGCTGATTCGTTGGCACACTTCCGTTTATGGCCATCCATAAAAACTTATCCTCAGATCAGGCAAAGAAAAACATTGTCATAATTTGCTGTAAACAATGCTAATGCGTTTATGGAATTGTAAAATAATAAAATGTTTACATGGTCCGGAATAATCTTCCAATTTCCGGACTTAAGTAGTATTGGAATTTTCCGGGCAATTTAGAAGAGAGTTTTAAATAGGCTCATCACGTAATTGGACAACAATATTTCCAAGAAATCTAATATATCGTATAGTAACAGATTTAAATCAATCAACTTAAAAAATACTGAATATTTCCGATGCATTTAAAGACTTGACAACCGATCCGTAAGGAAAAATATTTTTAGTTTCTTATCGAAAGATCTTTCGGAGCTTCGAAGTGTCATACTCAGAGAGTTTTTTGCAATCAGTCGTTGTTGTTTTTGCAGCAAGTGGTATGATGTGTTTTGTCAATTATTTTATTTTATTATTCCTTTTTGCGGTGCGGAGCAAATTTAACTCATAGTTTAAAGATTCCTCAACTTTTGGCTGTGTCACTCGGGGATCCGTTTTTTATATTTTTCTTTGTCAAATCATAACTTCATTCTGGGAGAAAATTTGAATTATAAGATAATCAAAAAGATCAAACAAAGAATTTCTTCAAAGTTTCTGAAGATTGTCATCGTTATTGACTTGCATAGAGAATAAAGTATATCGTATATATAGCGTGATATTCTCTGAGTAATTTGGATTTTTAATCGTCTGTTTATCCTGGGTCAGTGGAGAAATATAATTTTTTTTATGACCGGTCACATTTTCCGTGCGAAATTTGTTTAACCATTTTTTCATTTGCGTCAGAAATTTCCGGCAAAAAATCTGGGCAAACTTTCCTTCCAAAGTTGATTGCTTTGCTTATTTTATGACTCTCTCTGCTTGCAGAAATGGCTACAGAGTTCAGTCTTGTTCAGTGCTGTTGGCTTTGAAACGTAGATACTTTTTAGGATGGATACCAAAAATCCAATTTCCTTGATAGATCGAAGAAGGTTTTTTAAGAAGTTCTTCAACTAACTGAACCGAGTTGCGTAAATGTACTCTTTTTATTAAATAGTACACAGTTACAAACCTCTTAACTAACCTGCTAAAACTGAGTACTTTTGGTAACTCAGAATTTGATTTAAATCATCCAAACCTATAAAAAATCACTCCAGTTTTATTAACCATTTCCTCCTTGAACTCGAAATGCTCTTATGAATGAAACGATCAAGCTGGATTAGGTTTTATGGGAAAATCAGTGGCACGTTGAGTAGGAATCGAGTTTCAAGTAGTCATTGTCCTTCACAACTTATAAAGTGGCTGTTAACTTTATAATTGGTTTCAATTAAACAGCTCTAGTTGTCGATTTTTATCAAATCCCATGTATTGCAAAGCCCCGACAGTTTGTCCAAGAATAATTAGCTTAAATAAATGTATTGTGGCCGTTTTAAACATAAAAATGACCATAAATGTGTCACCTCACCACCCGCTTGCAGTTCGACCAGTTTCCAAGTTTTAAAAGCAAAGCCTCCAAATACTTTGAAAGAAATTAAACATTTCATTGGGAATAAAAGCAGATTAATTTCTAAATCCTACTGTGATCTATCATCGCGGCAGCTTAATGAAACCATTCGCTTTTGATAATGAAAGTCATAATAAAATTCGTCATGATAACGCACTTATTTGGAGATTATCGGTAATTATTGCAATTTTTTTTCACTCCGCTTTTGCAGTATTGCTGGCGCCATCCTCTAGAAAGAGCTGCAAGCTAAGCGCTTGGAGGCAACCGGAAGGCCTCTATGAGAATATCCAAGTGATCGATTTTAGCTGTAAAATTATAGTCTTTGAAATGTTTCGCTGAGGAAACTTCGCAAATTATTTAACTTTTCGAACAGGTGGCATCATATGCACTATTTTGAAAATACTTGCACGTAGAATCGGTTATTCCAAATTTAATTCTGTTTGGGCCATATAAATTGATAGGCATAAAAAGGATTGTTGGATTGTCCGCCTTATGTTGATTATTTTTAATAATCATTAATTTTCCTTTTGTTTAGTTGCCATTCAAATTCATTTTCAAGTTATCAGTTCGAAGTGCGATTTATTTAATTGCATTTATTTCAATCACAACCAGGATGTTGTGATTTATTTTGTATTTCAAATATAGTTTAGTGGCTGAAAAATTAAACTGTCGGCACACACGACTTTTTTTAGGTGTGTTTAAATCGAATCTATTAAAAAACATGGTTTGATAGTTTCTTCACTGACCCTGCTGGACCAAGGAGCGAATTCTAAGCTAAAGAAAGTAGGCTCCTCTATGTATATTTTTCGCGGTGTGAATTTGCATAATCTTAATCATTTGCAAGTATCTTAATTTTTTGAAGAGGTTGGACGATTTTTCGCAAGATCTCCGGATTAGATTCTCCTTTCAAATGATAACTCACGTCCCGTTTTGGCCATCACTATCCACAAATTCGCACCAGAGTCATCGTGGAGTATCTTTCTCTGGCATCTCCGATAATGTTTGTCTAATTTATTGGGGGTGTTTTCTTTTTGGGTGCCGAGAACGCGACAGGTTACGCAAATATTGGCAGACGCGCTTATCATCTCGGAGCCCCTCGGACGACACTAAATTACAATTATTCCGTTATTGTTTTCAATTTACAATCAGGCTTTGTTGTCGATTAAGTCTTTGAATTTCCGTAA